CATTTAAAACACAACTTATTCCCTTAGATGATGAAAGTCATTTTATGATCAAATTACCATTTTTCTAACACAAATTATTTCAAATGTACTCAAAACAGTGTTTTTTTTTGTATTTCATTTGTATCAAACTAATTGAATAATTTGTGTTCGATTAGTCGCAACTGACTAACGACTACAGAATCATCGCAATCTTGACAGAGATTTCATCCAGCAAGACTGGGCAAGAAATATATAAATGGATATTCGAAAGGCAGATGATGCGCAAAACGTGATTTTCATCGATAGTCATTCGAGTCAAGTTCTAAGCGGATTAATTGACACTCGAAAAAGAGACGAGATAACTAAGTTTTTCTGATAAAAAATAAACATTCTTTTTTCTAAAACTAAAAGCACTGTAAATGACGGCTACGGTTGCCGTTGTAGCAAATCATCATGTGTAATGTTTACTCAATCTCAGCGAATAAACTACAGGTTTTCGACAATGGTTCAGCTTAGGTGCGATTCAGGTAGGTAAATTAAGTTTAAGAACAACTGGAGATATGTTCTCTTTCTGGAACCAGAAACAATTGTGATGTGTTCTAATCAATGGATTCGATATAGGCCCAAAACTAGAAAGGTATATACAGGCATGACACTCATGTGCGAAAGTCTCAATCGGATTGATCGAGAGTATCATGACGATCACGCAGGACACTAGCGAACAGAATTCGCATCAACTTGATCCTTCATTTATGTATATGTACATTCTCAAGGAAATACTACTTAATTGACATAGCTTTAGAACTGCAACGTATTAATGAATTTATCGAATACTGTCGGGATTGGTTTTCTGGCACTCAAAACAAAAACCAATTGAAAACTGTAGCAGAACTGGAACGAGAATATTATGATAAAACACCCATATGACAGTACACTGCCTAATACTCTGTGTACGCCATACTGAATAGCGCATTACGAGTTATGGACGTCGAGGATCTAACTAAGCTAGGTTTCTTTGTCTATGATTTACGTCACCAACTCCAACAGTTCCATGAAGAACAATTTGGTAATCACAGCTCTAGCAATAGCTTTATCGTATATCGGGATCCGGATGTTGGAAACGAAGAACTCAAAAAATCATCCACGTCGAATATGAACCTATTCCATTCGATATCTTTTTATCCACTAGCTATCAACGAGCAATTGCGTACCTTATGGCCGACAGCAATCAGTATAGTTCCGATTGAGTAGGAATTATATTTGTAATGACGATTGATCCATCAAAGTCATTTGCTCCGTTTGTATCAATCAAGCACGTCAGTAAATATCAAAGAGAAGACGAAGTACTCAAGTTCTTCAAGCACACCGTGCTCCTAACTGACAATGTTATACACGTAGCCGGAAACCTCTACCAAGTGGATCTTTCTCCAACTACTGACAAATACGCAGATCTTCGTTTACTTACAGTTCGCATTCGAAAGGAAACTTATCCGGAAGAGAAAAAGTGGTATTGAATAGGCGCATTACTATTGAAAATGGGTGAATTCAATCAGGCTCAACACGTTTATGCATTTCTACTTTCTGAAACAACGAATAAGATTGAACAAGGGCGTATTTATCATCGACTCGGATTAGTGGAATTTATCCAAGGTAACTAAAGAGAAGCTATAACAATATCGATGTGCTTTATAAGAACCTGAGAGACTACATGGTTGTACTTTGCATATTGGTGAATACTACACTAATTGGATAGAAAATATAGCATAAGAAGCGATACAAAGTGTGTATGTCGGTAAAAATCATTGAGAGCACACTTCAACTAGTTCATGTACCATCAAAATAGATCATTTTCAAGTCTGAAGAAGTTTCAATTAGCAGCTGATGTATTGTGTTGTTTCCTTCAAATAGGTTAGTTCTTCTGAGTTCAATTGACCCGTCGTTTCGAGTACGCGTCGAACCTCTTGGTGGTAGCGATTCAGCCAAATTAATTGAGTTTTAGTTAACATCTCACACACAATTAGATTGCCATCGAACGGAACAAATGTAAATGGCTCAAAATGAAGAAATTGAGTAGTTGAATTTGCATAATTGTTTGGTAATGTATAATTCTTCACCATGATATGAGTTTCCAAACGGATACCAAAGTTATCGGGTAAGTAAAAACCTGGCTCATCAGAAAATACCATCCCATCTGTGAGTGGCATATCACGAACAGTATATCCCATACCAATAAATGAAGGGCCTTCATGTATGTGAAGAAAATGGCCAATACCATGGCCAGTACTATGAGCATAGTCCATGGAGTTCTTATAAAGACTTTGACGAGCGAGAATATCTAACTGTCGACCATAAGTTCCTTCAGGAAAGACGGCATCAGCCAAATCAATCGCTCCTACATAAAAAGACGAAAACAGACATCAGACAAAGAAGATCGTCAGCTGGTTACCTTGAAGCACTAGTGTATATGCTTTCTTTTCTTCGACTGTTGGCGTACCGAATGTATGTGTTCGGGTAACATCTGTCGTTCCATCCAGATACTGTGCACCGGCATCTAATAAATAAACTTTGTCTTTGGTGATCTGTACTGCTGTTGGAGGCTTCGGTTGAAAGTGAATTACAGCGGCATTAGCACCAACTGCTGAGATTGTCTCAAAACTGATGCCTTTGAAATAAGCTTGTTGAGACTGAAAGTATTCGAGTTTTTCAGCAGCTTGCGTTTCATTGACTGGACGATCGTTTTTGATCTCATTCTGTAGCCAATTCAAGTGTTTCACGCGTGCAACACTATCGCGAATACTACTCTCGCGCATACCTTTCTGTTCGGTAGGATTTTTCACCGCTTTAGTACGTTCTATCGGCGAACCTGAAATAAAACGTTTGCTTGCAGGAATTCTCTCGACAATCTCCTGCGCTGCTGATTGAGTAACCCAGATTTTATTGATAGCACTACCATTGACTAATGCATCTAGTGTGGACAGAAATGCATCATAAGGTTGAATGTCAACATTCGCTAATTGTATTCTCGCATCCGACACCAATTGAGATGTGTTCATCCAAAGGTGAGTAGTTTGATTGACGTGAACAAAGGCGCGAGCCTATATATGTATAAAATCGGTTCTTAGTTTGGTTAGCGAGAGAAAAACGATTACTATACTCGGAAGAATGGTCTATATAAGATGTCTGAGCCGCGTACATTGAATAGCCAAGCGATTTCATCAAGTTCTGTAACGACTAAACCTTGTGCCGACTGAGCATTGATTAATCGAGCAATGGTTTCCACCTTCTTCTCCCAGCTTATACCGGCAAATGTGATGTTGTGCACGTAAACTGGATTATCCGGATCAGTACGATGAAATAATTCTGTTACTGCAACTAAGGACACGTTCCATATCATTAACTCATCTTTCATTGATGACCACGAATGAAATGAAGTATATTGAGCAGACATACCTACTTTGTTGTACGATGATCTAATATCTAGCTTACTAGCAATCCATTCAGCAAGTGCAACTGGCATTTTTGTTCCATCATGCCGTATAAGAAGCCAATTATCACAAACGAGCTCACTTCTTACCTGTGCTTCATATCGATCATCAGTCCATAGAACAACCTGGTCAAGTGTGATTACAATCGAACCAATGAAATGCGAATATCCAGTCAACCATGCACATTGTGCATTATACTGATGCATATATTCATCTTCAGAGAGAATGATATATGCATACAAGCCCATGTTTCTCATTTGCGCTCGTAATTTTACCAATCTTTCCACAGCACACACGGAACTTGCCTGTCGACATGATGCAAACTGAATACAACTGATGAAAAGAATAATGCAGATCGTCAGGTTATTCATCCTTTTCTTTTCATTACAATGTATATAATGTCGATATACTTTCTACTTTTATGATCATTCTTTCTCTTATCTTTGAAATAACAATAAATCGGATAATCTTTCACTCATAAAAAGACAAAACTTCATTTTTTGGTATTGACACACAGTCAGATCGGTGGTGTGTAGAAAAAGTAAACACTTTAATTGTATTCTTTTTCATTCTTTATGAAAAAAATGCTCAGGAGTCCATGGAGATGTGTAATGTGCACACATTTTCTTCATTCTTTCGAACGAACACACACAGAGCGTTTCAATTCATTCTATTTCGAATAAATCGTATCAAACATGCATGACGGTCCATTTCAATTTTACTTCTTATTCGGAATTCTTCAACATGGAGCGAAACTACCAGTCGATATAACTTTTCGTCCTCAATTAGAATATCGAAACTTCTACGACATTACCGAAACGATATACGATCTCAAGAATAAGAATGAAATCATCAAACGGCGAGAAATCGAAAGTGTGGAGAAAGTGATTCAACTAAAGAAAAAGACGATTATCGGAATCATTAATAGAAAGGCTAAGCTAGATCCGTACAACGAAGATGAATGGAATATTCTACTAAAACGGCCGTACTTCGACCGTTTAGAACAATTCGAATTGCCAGGTGATCTTCGCTCTCGTACGTCACCATTCGGTCATATGTGGATGTTATTTCCTGCCCCGGAAAACTTAATGACGCCGGACATCAAAAAGCTTTATGAGGGACAAAAATGGGCGGTAAAGATGGCAGGTAGTGCATACGATATGAATTACGAATTGACAAATATCGATCACGAGAACCACCAAGCGATTGTTGAAGGTCGGAATGGAATTTGCTCGAATGGAGAAGCCGGGGTGAAGAGATGGAATGCTAGTTGGATAGTTGATACTCGTGATGGAGTTATCAAAGAAATGCAACTACGCGTCGAGCATGAGAACAAACAGAAGAATGAAAAAACACGTACGATAACGACAAAGATTTGGACACGAGGCGAAGAAGACCCAGATAAACGCTATGATTACGAATTTTCTGAAGGCCGACCAGATCTTTAAACGAAAAAAACTCAAGTTTCTTTTATCTTTGTTTTTTACATAAAAAATTTAGAATAAGAACGCGAATATTTTTATTTTTTCATTTTGCATAGGCCATGCACTCGTATCGACAACCCTTATTATATGAATCAGAGGAAAATAAAAAGTCCTTCTTTCGAAAAGTCGTTTTTCCGCTAATCATTTTATTTAACATTGCTTCTACAACTTATCTTCTGATTGCCAATTCTTTAAAGTATGGTGAATATCAAAAACGGAGCTCGTACGTAATCTTTCATGTTCCAAATACGACTTCAGATTATTATATCGTTCGAGCCGACCTAAACGGAACTGTCAATTGTTCATCCGATGCTTTATTTACTTTCAATGTCACAACTGTGTTCAATAATATCATACGTAAAGATACAGCGAATACTTTATTTGTCACAGTTTATTGGCTAAGCATCGCAGTAGCTGTATTTCTCAATATAGTCGGAATAAGTGAAGCCATCATTGATCACTGTACATATGATGAGTCAAAAGAATCGAACTGGTGTTTCAAATCGATTCTTTCGATAGGTTCGCAACTTCTTCAAAAAGGTTCCTTCATTTTTCCAACGTATTTCATTGGAATTTTTAATTATACTCAAGTATGTTTAAATCATCATACGAAACAATCCTTGTTTATACTTCATCATACTTATATCGGTATTGCAATCTCACTGATTAGCATGATTTATCTGATCATTTGGACATTAGCCTGTTGTGATACTCGTCGAAACGTAGATAATGATAATATTCTATGGGTAAAATTTCGCGAAACATTGACGTGTGAAAACCAGTCAGCGTGTGGAATCGTAGGCATTTTATTATGCTTACCTGTGATTCCATTAGGCATCTACGGTATATTCGTATGGATTACATCTTTAATGGAATCACTATTGAAAATCAAAGCTATTTTGATAAGCAGTAACTTGTTAGTTGGCATCATCTTTGAAATAATCAGACATTGTAGACATAAGTGACATGAAAAAAAAACTTTTTTTCTTTTCTTTCCTTTCCTTCGTCGTACACAGAATATTTTCTCATAGTAGAAAGTGAGTCATGTTTGTGCGAACTGCGAATAATTTCTTTTTCCTGTTCTGTGGGTATTTTGATGCTTATTTTAGTATGAAAGAAACTTTCATGTAGTTAGTTCTTCTTTTTGCAAAACATAATGGAAGAAGAATTGTTAAATATCAATCGAAAATTGACAAAGATAATCAAGAAATCAGAAATCGATGAATCTATTGTACAAACACTTCTAGTTCGTCTAGAGGATTTAGATGTCACTTTGACGATGTTGCAAAAAACTGGAATAGGGAAAAGTGTTAATGAACTACGTCGACTGACTTCTAACGAGAATCTGACAACAATGGCAAAGAATTTATTGAAGAAATGGAAAAAACTTCTTCCAACTTCTTCTGGCAAAGACACTGAACCGAAACATCCTCAACTGGCCGATCCAGTTCGACTCAAGTCACGTGAAATGTTGGCAAAAGCATTATCAATCGCTGCAATTCCTCAAGGATCACGAGCTCCCGAAGAATTATCCGCTCGGATCGAAGAAGCGATTTTCAATGAGATCAAAGATACCAAAACGAAATATGGACACCGTGTTCGCAGTCGAATATTCAACTTACGCGATTTAAAAAATCCCGATCTTCGCACGAGAGTTCTCAACGGGACAATCACACCGGAACAATTTGCTGTCATGACTTCAGAAGAAATGACCAGCGAGCATTCGAAGAAAGAACATGCAAAACTCAAAGAACTCACTTATCGAGAAAGTTTGTTACCCGTCGACGAAGGTGTTGGCTGTAATCTCCTGAAGTGNTACCGAATGTATGTGTTCGGGTAACATCTGTCGTTCCATCCAGATACTGTGCACCGGCATCTAATAAATAAACTTTGTCTTTGGTGATCTGTACTGCTGTTGGAGGCTTCGGTTGAAAGTGGATTACGGCAGCATTAGCACCAACTGCTGAGATTGTTTCAAAACTGATGCCTTTGAAATAAGCTTGTTGAGACTGAAAGTATTCGAGTTTTTCAGCAGCTTGTGTTTCATTGACTGGACGATCGTTTTTTATCTCATTCTGTAGCCAATTCAAGTGTTTCACGCGTGCAACACTATCGCGAATACTACTCTCGCGCATACCTTTCTGTTCGGTAGGATTTTTCACCGCTTTAGTACGTTCTATCGGTGAACCTGAAATAAAACGTTTGCTTGCAGGAATTCTTTCGACAATCTCTTGCGCTGCTGATTGAGTAACCCAGATTTTACTGATAGCACTATCATTGACTAATGTATCTAATGTGGATAGAAATGTATTATAAGATTGAATGTCAACATTCGCTAATTGTATTCTCGCATCCAACGTCAATTGAGATGTGTTCATCCAAAGGTGAGTAGTTTGATTGACGTGCACAAAGGCACGAGCCTATATATGTATAAAATCGGTTCTTAGTTTGGTCAGCGAGGGAAAAATGATTACTATACTCGGAAGAATGGCCTATATAAGATGTCTGAGCCGCGCACATTGAATAGCCAAGCGATTTCATCAAGTTCTGTAACGACTAAACCTTGTGCCGATTGAGCATTGATTAATCGAGCAATGGTTTCTACCTTCTTCTCCCAGCTTATACCAGCAAATGTGATGTTGTGCACGTAAACTGGATTATCCGGATCGGTACGATCAAATAATTCTGCTACTGCCACTAAGGGCACACTCCGTAATATTAACTCATCTTTCATTGATGACCACGAATGGAATGAAGTATATTGAGCAGACATACCTACTTTGTTGTACGATGATCTAACATCTAGCTTACTAGCAATCCATTCAGTGAGGACAACTGGCATTTTTGTTCCATCGTGTCGCATAAGAAGCCAATTATCACAAACGAACTCACTTCTAACCTGTGCTTCATATCGATCATCAGTCCATAGAGCAACCTGGTCAAGTGTGATTACAATAGAACCAATGAAATGCGAATTTCCAGTTAACCATGCATATTGTGCATTATATTGATGCATATATTCATCTTCAGAGAGAATAATATATGCATACAAGTCCATATTTCTCATTTGTGCTCGTAATTTTACCAATCTTTCTACAGCACACACGGAACTTGCCTGTCGACATGATGCAAACTGAACACGACTGATGAAAAAAATAATGCAGATCGTTACGATATTCATCCTTTTCTTTTCATTACAATGTATATAATGTCGATATACTTTCTACTTTTATGATCATTCTTTCTCTTATCTTTGTAATAACAATAAATCTGATAGTCTTTCACTCATAAAAAGACAAAACTTCATTTTTGGTATTGACACACAGTCAGGAACGGTGGTGTGTAGAAAAAGTAAACACTTTAATTGTATTCTTTTTCATTCTTTATGAAAAAAAAATGCTCAGGAGTCCATGGAGATGTGTAACGTGCACACATTTTCTTCATTCGTTCGAACGAACACACAAAGCGTTTCAATTCATTCTATTTTGAATAAATCGCATTCAACATGCACGACGGGCCATTTCAATTTTACTTTTTATTTGGAATTCTTCAACATGGAGCGAAACTACCAGTCGATATAACTTTTCGTCCTCAGTTAGAATATCGAAACTTCTACGATATTACCGAAACGATCTACGATCTCAAGAATAAGAATGAAATCATCAAACGGCGAGAAATCGAAAGTGTGGAGAAAGTAATTCAACTAAAGAAAAAGACGATTATCGAAATTATTAATAGAAAGGCTAAGCTAGATCCGTACAGCGAAGATGAATGGAATATTTTGCTAAAACGGCCGTACTTCGATCGTTTAGAACAATTCGAATTGCCAGGTGATCTTCGCTCTCGTACATCACCATTTGGTCATAAGTGGATGTTATTTCCTGCTCCGGAAAACTTAATGACGCCGGACGTCAAAAAGCTTTATGAGGGACAAAAATGGGCGGTAAAGATGGTAGGTAGTGCATACGATATGAATTACGAATTGACAAATATTGATCACGAGAACCACCAAGCGATTGTTGAAGGTCGGAATGGAATTTGCTCGAATGGAGAAGCCGGTGTGAAGAGATGGAACGCTAGTTGGATAGTTGATACTCGTGATGGAGTTATTAAAGAAATGCAACTACGCGTCGAACATGAGAATAAACAGAAGAATGAAAAAACACGTACGATAACGACGAAGATTTGGACACGAGGAGAAGAAGATCCAGATAAACGCTATGATTACGAATTTTCTGAAGGCCGACCAGATCTTTAAACAAGAAACTCAAGTTTCTTTTATCTTTGTTTTTTTTTGCATAAAAAATTTCGGAATAAGAACGCGAATATTTTTATCTTTTCATATTGCATACGCCATGCATCGCTATCGACAACCCTTATTGTATGGATCAGAGAAAAATAAAAAGTCTTTCTTTCGAAAAGTCGTTTCTCCGTTAATCATTTTATTTAACATTGTTTCTACAATTTATCTTCTCATTGCCAATTCTTTAAAGTATGATGAATATCAAAAACGGAACTCGTACGTAATCTTTCATGTTCCAAATACGACTTCAGATTATTATATCATCCGAGCAGGCCTAAACGGAACAGTCAATTGTTCATCCGATGCTTTATTTACTTTCGATGTTACAACTGTGTTCAATAATATCATACGTAAAGATACAGCGAATACTTTATTTGTTACAGTTTATTGGCTAAGCATCATAGTAGCTGTATTTCTCAATATAGTCGGAATAAGTCAAGCTATCATTGATCACTGTACATATGATGACTCCAAAGGATCAAACTGGTGTTTAAAATCGATACTTTCGATAGGTTCGCAACTTCTTCAAAAAGGTTCCTTCATTTTTCCAACGTATTTCATTGGCATTTTTAATTACACTCAAGTATGTTTAAACCATCATACGAAAGAATCCTTGTTTATACTTCATCATACTTATATCGGCATTGCAATCTCGCTGATTAGCATGATTTATCTGATCATTTGGACATTAGCCTGTTGTGATACTCGTCGAAACATACGTAATGATAATATTCTATGGGTAAAACTTCTCGAAACATTGACTTGTGAAAATGAGTTAGCATGTGGAATCGTAACCATTTTATTATGTTTACCGGTGATTCCATTAGGCGTCTACGGTGTATTCGTATGGATTACATCTTTAATGGAATCACTATTGAAAATCAAAGCTATTTTGATAAGCAGTAACTTGTTAATTGGCATCACCTATGAAATAACCAAACATTGTAGATATGAGTGACATGAAAAAAAACTATTTTTCTTTTCTTTCCTTCGTCGTGCACAAAGTATTTTCTCATAGTAGAAAGTGAGTCATGTTTGTGCGAACTGTGAATAATTTCTTTTTCCTGTTCTGTGGGTATTTTGATGCTTATTTTAGTATGAATGAAACTTTCATGTAGTTTGTTCTTTTTTTTTGCAAAACATAATGGAAGAAGAATTGTTAAATATCAATCGAAAATTGACAAAGATAATCACGAAATCAGAAATCGATGAATCTGTTGTACAAACACTTCTAGTTCGTCTAGAAGATTTAGACGTCACTTTGACGATGTTACAAAAAACTGGAATAGGGAAAAGTGTTAATGAACTACGTCGACTGATTTCTAACGAGAATCTGACAACAATGGCAAAGAATTTATTGAAGAAATGGAAAAAACTTCTTCCAACTTCTTCTGGCAAAGACACTGAACTGAAACATCCTCAACTGGCCGATCCAGTTCGACTCAAGTCACGTGAAATGTTGGCAAAAGCATTATCAATCGCTGCAATCCCTCAAGGATCACAAACTCCCGAAGAATTATCCGCTCAGATCGAAGAAGCGATTTTCAATGAGATCAAAGATACGAAAATGAAATATGGACATCGTGTTCGCAGTCGAATATTCAACTTACGCGATTTAAAAAATCCCGATCTTCGCACGAGAGTTCTCAACGGGACAATCACACCGGAACAATTTGCTGTCATGACTTCAGAAGAAATGACCAGTGAACATTCGAAGAAAGAACATGCGAAACTCAAAGAACTCACTTATCGAGAAAGTTTGTTACCCGTCGACGAAGGTGTTGGCTGTAATCTCCTGAAGTGNCGTGTTCGCAGTCGAATATTCAACTTACGCGATTTAAAAAATCCCGATCTTCGCACGAGAGTTCTCAACGGGACAATCACACCGGAACAATTTGCTGTCATGACTTCAGAAGAAATGACCAGTGAACATTCGAAGAAAGAACATGCGAAACTCAAAGAACTCACTTATCGAGAAAGTTTGTTACCCGTCGACGAAGGTGTTGGCTGTAATCTCCTGAAGTGCGAAAAATGTGGCGCAAACAATTGTTCGTATTCGGAATTGCAAACTCTCAGCGGGGATGAACCAATGACAGTATTCGCTCTTTGTCGAAGTTGTGGCCACCGATGGCGAGGGTGAGCCACTCGTTTTTCAGCACAATCTTGTCACTTCGTTCTTTTTTTTTCACTCATTACAATAAAATGTTTCGTTATTGTTAAAACGAGCGCATCGTTAAAACGTCATATGGAATAAAACAACGACAACTGTGAGTCCGATTGCATTATATCTATCGATCGATTCTGTTTCCTTTTCGATGCTGAGATACCACTTGGAATCGTCATTGGGACTCTTCCTTGCTTTACTGAGAAATTTGATAGACATGACGTTTCACATTATATCAAGGAAAAAGAATGAAATTTCCTATTCATGAGGCAGTATATAAAAAGTTTGTGCACTGCTCTAAAGTATAACTGTTTAATCAGACGATTCCAAAACTTCACTTAACGACAACTGCATTCAATGCCTCAACCGAACAAGCAATCAATACTCACACCCATTTCACCTCCACATCACCATAAAATTCCACGGAATCTGAACGAAATCGTTCAATTATGTTCTGTGAGATGTCTACGTGATGAAAGTTTAGGTAGACAATTGGATGAAATTACAGCAAACGAATCAGGTTCCTTGGATGATTTCAAATGTTTATTCGATGATCATTTATCTAAAACCGATGATTTTGATGCAACGACCCGTGAATATGAATACGGTTCAAAGTTGAATACGATTGTTCGACAACTTGGTATTGCAGAAAACTTCGAATGGCTCATCAATAAGATATTCCATTCAAAAGAAGCAATGATAAATTTAGTGGTCAATTCTTACCGACATCAAAATGGATTTGATAAGTTTGTTCTGATGGAAAGTCCAAATGGTTGGAAATTACGGCTACATATCTGGTGGTCAGATAGTTTCATATCGTTTCAAGAAAGTATTCACGATCATAGTTGGATGTTTGCTTCGAACGTTTTAGCTGGCCGAATTTATTCCGACATATTCCAAGAAGTTGAACCAGAAGCCGATCAGGCAGAAAGATTCAGAGAACATCAGTATACGTCAGTATCACGATCACGGGAAAATCACTCAAATCAGTTTCAAATTAATTATGTCAAAGACACCTGGCTAAGAGCAACTGAATCAAGTGTAATGATCAACGCAGGTCAAAGCTATGTGTTTCCACAAACGATGTTGCATCGTATTTTACAACCAACGTTCGATGAAATTCATCAAAATTCGAACTGCGGCGCTGTCACCTTGGTACTAACTGCTCCTCGATCTCGATATACAAGTCGCTTGATAAATACTTGTAATACTGATTACGAAGAAGAACAAACTGTTATCAGAATGACAGAATTCGAAATTCGACGAAAACTGCAATATGTGTGCCAGTACCTCAAAGACAGATCAGACATTCCTTTAAAATCTCCAATGTAATAACAGTGCTCATACGAAGATTCTTTTTTATTTTAAATGGATAAATGTATTGATTCTGGTGTTCAGATATATGCGAGAATCCCATGTATGCATTGTTAAAATATTACGTCGACATTATGTGTGAATGGATGTGCATCTGGACACACAAAAATCGATAAAAGAGAAAAGGAAAAGGCGTCATTTCTCCAAACATTTGTAATTAGTTTCGTCGGTTCCGACGATTTCTGTCGCTCTATATGTTGTTATCATACGAAACACACGTGAAAAGTCTGTTTAACCCATGAGCTTTGCCGGAGTAAATAGGCGATAAAAATGGAGAATTAGTCGGATGCTCATAGAAAAGAATTCAAAGGTGTTTCGTAATAACTGAGGACATCAACGTCTATATTTCTTCTAATTTAGTAAGTTTTGTTTGACGTATAAGCAATGACATCAGCATGGGAATTTCCCTATATGAACATCTATATATACGACATAAAAGAAAAGGAAAAAAGAAAGAAAATCTAACATAAACAAGTCATATTTTACCGAAAACAAGCAAAGCAGAAGTAACGACGCAGTTGTGCATTTTGTTGAACGAGATGACAAAAGCGATGAATCGTTTCCGCGCTAAGAGTATGGCAGATCTACGTACTCAAGCGTTTGCTCGTCCTAATCACAGCCAACCACTGACGTTTCAACGACTATGCAATCTTTGCAACGAAGTAAAAATCAAAGCAGATCAATATTTGAACGTGGACGGAGATCAAGAATTAGCGTATATATGTTATTATAACGCTACCGAGTATCTGAATATGATAATGAAATGTGAAGAGTATTCACACTTGCCAGTAAGTGTAGATAAACTTCACGATATATATTATATTGTTAACCATCTTATTAAGCAATTCTTTCGAACAAAATTCGAACAGCAATGGGCTGAATGCGAGCAACTAGAATCTACATTACGCCTAGAACTGGAACAAAGGTAGTAAGCAATCATAGTATCATTCGGTCATACTGAGATCTTTTACTAGGTACAAGAGGCAAAATGTTAACAAACGAAATAATACGGTACCAGCAGTGAATCTGAAGACAGTAAACAATGCTATATGTTTACTTACGCAAGTGATTTTTCACTTCTTCTCATCGTCTAGTTATATCCCTGGATCGACGTAAGCCAACTTTGACGAACGCGTCAGCACACTCGCTCACTTAATACAGTTCCACCTTACAACTTAGTTACAGGCCAAACTACAATACGGAATATCTCAGACTCTACTGCTTATAGAACATTTGACAAATGCTTATCGGGTAAGAAAATATCATTGAGTTTATCATCTTCACCGTTTACTTGCTAATCGATGTTTTAAGGAAACAGAAATCCATCATTCACGTGTGAAAATACACAAGTGCCAATATCAAAAGTACCGCTTTCTCGTTCGGATACGCCTCAGCCACCTCGAACCCCGTGAGAAACAGATTTTCTGTTGATATTTTCTTACCTAGGCATGTTCTTTGTAGAAGAGTAAAACCGCGGAATCGTGAATGTGTCGTCTGTCTAACTCGAAAGCCTACCGCCGATTTTCAAAAACGTTTTAGTACAGAATGTCGACATACCATACGCCAGATTTGTACTCCATGTGTTCGAGAAAATACGCACAGAGCTCTCAAGGATTCACCAGCAACCGAAGTTCGCTGTCCCGAGCAGAATTGTAATGTTCTATTCGATTTTGTCAGCGTTCAAAGCCTTTTGAATGGAGCTAGCACGTCTCTGGGTCGTTGTGGAACAGCCCTTACTCGACATGAAAGTCATCTAAGTATGAATTACATTGAGGCAATGAGAAATGTGGTCTTTTGTGCGTACGGATGTGGCTGGGGTACTGAAATACTTGGTACTATGGTACCCTATTTGACATGTCTAAACTGCAAGAAGACAACATGCACTCACCATAAAATTAGATGGCACGTGGGAATGACATGCAGCGAATATGATCAAAAACTAGAATCCGATCGCGAGAATCGACAAAATAAGAAATACTTANAACGGGACAATCACACCGGAACAATTTGCTGTCATGACTTCAGAAGAAATGACCAGCGAGCATTCGAAGAAAGAACATGCAAAACTCAAAGAACTCACTTATCGAGAAAGTTTGTTACCCGTCGACGAAGGTGTTGGCTGTAATCTCCTGAAGTGCGAAAAATGTGGCGCAAACAATTGTTCGTATTCGGAATTGCAAACTCTCAGCGGGGATGAGCCAATGACAGTTTTCGCTCTTTGTCGAAGTTGTGGCCACCGATGGCGAGGGTGAGCCACTCGTTTTTCAACGCAATCTTGTCACTTCGTTCTTTTTTTTTCTCTCTCATTATAATAAAATCTTTCGTTATTGTTAAAACGAGCGCATCGTTAAAACGTCATATGGAATAAAACAACGACAACTGTGAATCCGATTGCATTATACCCATCGATCGATTCTGTTTCCTTTTTCTATGCCGAGATGCCACTTGGAATCGTCATTGGGACTCTTCCTTGCTTTGCTGCAAAATTTGATAGATATGACATTTCGCATTACGTCAACGGAAAAGAAAGAAATTTCCTACTCATGAGGTAGTATATAACAAGTTTGTGCGCTGTTCTACAGTATAATTGTTTAATCAGACGATTCCAAAACTTCACTTAACGGTAACTGCATTCGATGCCTCAACCAAACAAGCAATCAATACTCACACTCATTCCACCGCTACGTCATCAGAAAATTCCACGGAATCTGAACGAAATCGTTCAATTATGTTCTGCAAGATGTCTACGTGATGAAAATTTAGGTAAACAATTGGATGAAATTACAGCAAACGAATCAGGTTGTTTGGAAGATTTGAAATGTTTATTCGATGATCATTTATCTAAAGCTGATAATTTATACGAGATGACCCGTGAATACGAATATGGTTCAAAGTTAAATACAGTTGTTCGTCAACTTGGTATTGTAGAAAACTTTGAATGGCTTATCGATAAGATATTACATTCAAAAGAAGCAATGGTAAATTTAGTCGCCAATTCTTATCGACATCAAAATGGATTTGATAAGTTTGTTCTGATGGAAAGTCCAAATGGTTGGAAATTACGACTACATATCTGGTGGTCAGATAGTTTCATATCGTTTCAAGAAAGTATTCACGATCATAGTTGGATGTTTGCTTCGAACGTTTTAGCTGGCCGAATTTATTCAGATATATTCCAAGAAGTTGAGCCAGAAGCTGATCAGGCAGAAAGATTCAAAGAACATCAGTATACGTCAGTATCACGATCACGGGAAAATCATTCAAATCAGTTTCAAATTAATTATGTCAAAGACACCTGGCTAAGAACAACTGAATCAAGTGTAATGATCAACGCAGGTCAAAGCTATGTGTTTCCACAGACGATGTTGCATCGTATTTTACAACCAACGTTCGATGAAATTCATCAAAACCCAAACTGCGGCGCTGTCACCTTGGTACTAACTGCTCCTCGATCTCGATATACAAGTCGCTTGATAAATACTTGTAATACTGATTACGAAGAAGAACAAACTGTTATCAAAATGACAGAATTCGAAATTCGACGAAAACTGCAATATGTGTGCCAGTACCTCAAAGACAGATCGGACATTCCTTTAAAATCTCCAATGTAATAACAGTGTTCATACGAAGATTCTTTTTTTTATTTTAAATGGATAAATGTATTGATTCTGGTGTTCGGACATATGCAAGAATCCCATGTATGCACTGTTAAAATATTACGTCGACATTATGTGTGAATGGATGTGCATCTGGGCACACAAAAATCGATAAAAGGGAAAAGGAAAAGGCGCCATTTCTCCAAACATATCGAATTAGTTTCGTCGGTTCCGACGATTTCTGTCACTCTATATGTTGTTATAATACGAAACACACGTGAAAAGTCTGTTTAATACATGAGCTTTGCCGTAGTGAATAGACGATAAAAACGGAGAATCAGTCGGATGCTCATAGAAAAGAATTCAAAGATGTTTCGTAATAGTCGAGAACGTCAACGTCTATATTTCTTTTAATTTAGTAAGTTTTGTTTGACGTATAAGCAATGACATCATCACGGGAATTCCCAATATGAACATCTATATATACGACATAAAAGAAGAGGAAAAAAGAAAGAAAATCTAACATAAACACGTCATATTTTACCGAAAACAAGCAAAGCAGAAGTAACGACGCAGTTGTGCATTCTATTGAACGAGATGGCAAAAGAGATGGATCGTTTCCGCGCTAAGAGTATGGCAGATCTACGTACTCAAGCGTTTGCTCGTCCTAATCACAGCCAACCACTGACATTTCAACGACTATGGAATCTTTACAAAAAAGTAAAAATCAAGGCAGATCAATATTTGAACGTGGACGGAGATCAAGAATTAGCGTATACATGTTATTATAACGCTGCCGAGTATCTGAATATGATAATGAAATGTGAAGAGTATTCACACATGCCAGTAAGTGTAGATAAACTTCATGATATTTATATTATATGGTTAACCATCTTATTAAGCAATTCTTTCGAACAAAATTCGAACAGCAATGGACTGAATGCGAGCAACTAGAATCTTCATTACGGCTAGAACTGGAACAAAGGTAGTAAGCAATCATAGTATCATTCGGTCATACTGAGATCTTTTACTAGGTACAAGAGGCAAAATGTTAACAAACGAGATAATACGGTACCAAATCCATCATTCACGTATGAAAATACACAAGTGCCAATATCAAAAGTACCGTTTTCTCGTTCGGATACGCCTCAGCAACCTCGAACTCCGTGAGAAACAAATTTTCTGCTGATATTTACTTACCTAGGTATGTTCTTTGTAGAAGAGTAAAATCGCGGAATCGTGAATGTGTCGTCTGTCTAACTCGAAAGCCTACCGCCGATTTTCAAAAACTCTTTAGTCCAGAATGTCGACATGCCATACGCCACATTTGTACTCCATGTGTTCGAGAAAATACGCACAGAGCTCTCAAGGATTCACCAGCAACCGAAGTTCGCTGTCCCGAGCAGAATTGTAATGTTCTATTCGATTTTGCCAGCGTTCAAAGCCTTCTGAATGGAGCTAGCACGTCTCTGGGTCGTTGTGGAACAGCCCTTACTCGACATGAAAGCCATCTAAGTATGAATTGCATTGAGACAATGAGAAATGTGGTCTTTTGTGCGTACGGATGTGGCTGGGGTACTGAAATACTTGGTACTATGGTACCCTATTTGACATGTCTAAACTGCAAGAAGACAACATGCACTCACCATAAAATTAGATGGCACGTGGGAATGACATGCAGCGAATATGATCAAAAACTAGAATCCGATCGCGAGAATCGACAAAATAAGAAATACTTAGATGATCATACGAAAAAATGTCCTAAATGCAAAGTATCTATCGAAAAAAACGGAGGATGCAACCATATGACATGTCGCAATTGCAAACATGAATTCTGCTGGTCATGTCTGACCGATTACAAATCTGCGGGTCAACATCAAAATTGCTGATTTACGCTCTGACAGATTCTTTGCCTTGTTTTCTTTTCTAAACTTCACGACAAATATTGTGTGAACCAAGAAAATACATTCATATTTCATTTTTATATCTCTCACTGCTTTCCTTATTAGCCGAATAAAACAAGAAGTTTTCTTTGAAAGAAACTCAAGATTTTATTGAATATGTATTCACAACAGTTACAGTACATCTGAAGAGTCAAAACATTGATCTTCTATGAAATGTATGCATCAGTTTTCATTCTGTAAAAGAATACTAACAGAGCCAGAACCATAATTAGCGATAATAACATCAGGATGACAATCATTATCTATATAGGCCACTGCTACTGAACGTGGATCGTTGCCAACCGGATAAGTAGTTTGATTGAAAGCTGTGCCATTGTTTCTATTCAGAAGAATACTAACGTTGTCTGCTCCTGAATTCGCGACAATAATATCAAGTCTGTTATCATTATTCATATCAAATACTACTACTGAGTACGGACCAGTGCCAACCGAGTAAGTGATTTGACTCATAAATGAACCATCACCTTTGTTCAAAAGAACGCTCAAGGTATTTGAAATATAGTTCGCGACAACAATATCAGGTCGATTATCATTGTCCACATCACCAACAGCAACGGAATACGGAAAACCACCAACTGGATAAGAATTATGAACTCCAAACGTACTATTACCGTTGTTGAACAAAATTCCGACGGTGCTTGATCCTGAATTTGCTACAACGATGTCAAATCTATTATCATTATTCATATCAAATATCACGACTGAGTACGGGTTATAGCCAACCTGATAAATAGTATGGTTTGAAAATGTTCCATTACCAATGTTAATTAACACACTGATGCTATTTCCGTAATAGTTTGCGGTGACAATATCTGGCTTTTTGTCATCGTTCACATCAGCCACTGAAAGTGCACGTGGGCTGCGACCAACTGAGTACAGAACAGGACCTCGAAACGTACCATTTTCACTATTAAACATAATATTCACTTTGTCTATGACATGATTTGTGACAATAATATCTGGTCTGTTATCATCATCTACGTCAAATACTGCAAGGGCCATTGAGTTATTGGCAACTGAACAAACAGTTTGATTGAGGAAAATACCATCACCTCGGTTAACAAGGATACCAACTTTGTTAGGATCATAGACGGCAATAATATCCGATTTATTGTCACCAGTCACATCTGTACCAGCAACGGCATATAAAGTATCACTGACTTTATAGGTTACTTGATTACGAAAAGTGCTGTAAACTAGACGAAACAAAAAGAGCATTTTTAGTTTATATCAGTTGACGTGTAAACTACAGCGAATCGTTTCGGTTGCAATTTCCAATGAAATGAAGCTCCAATGAAAACGCGTGTCGTAAGTGTGAAATGTAATGAAGTCAATGTTTATCTCTAAGAAACATATCTATACTTCCAACTGTCAGTTCGAATGCAGTCTAAATCTTTTTCTCTGTATAGAAAATATCACGAACCAAAACCTGCTGTCGCTGTAGTTGTTGACGATGACGCCGATGACGGACTTGTTGTCATTGTTGTTGTCGTAACTATTAAATAGAACAAAAGGGTATGATTCAGTTCGGTGTAGAACAAATGTTGTTCGTCCATAATATCGTTCTTTTTATGTCTGATACTTCTTTCTAATCCAAGTTTTACGACAATATAATGTGTTTTCGTTTTTTGTTCAACTTACGATTGATTCGAATAGAAATTGCTGATTGATTAAGAAATGCAAATATTGAATTCACATCGAATTGAAGGGTGATCCAGGTCACACTGGATTCAAATAATTGACACGTTCGATTTCTTGAAAAGTAATTTAAAGCAAATTTAGATCCATTCGAATGTACCATTCGACACATGCATTCATTCTGAGTGATGTTGAAAACTAGTACACTCATGTCAGCAATTTGCGAACAATTATCGATCCTACCGATGCTAATCGAATTAGCAACGGCAAACAGTGACAGAAAAATAATCGTCCAGTCCATATCTAATTCCTCTAAACAAATTCTTCAAATGTTGTGTTGAACGTTTCTATTATTATTATCATGTGATATAAATTACATTGTGCCCTTGAAAGAATAATTAAAAATTTCATTTAAGTTTTTGTGCGCAGAAAGAAGAAAATAGAACTAATTACATATTTCATGCGCATAGTCTTGACAATTCGAAGAAAACTAATAGCTTCTGCGGAATTGAAATACTAGAGAAAATATATTTATAATTATATTCTTGTCTTTGTACTTAATTTCACAATCTGATAACAACGAAAAACACCACTATTCGATTTTCTCTTAGTCAGCATACATGACGTAGCCAAGAATCTTTCTTTTAGTCTTAGGTATCTACGATGAGAATAGGCACCATACACTTTATCGTACAAAGCTAACACTAAACAGAATCGAAATGGTGACATATGCGGTTTTTCTCTCATCGAATAAAAGAACGGTGTTCGTATTTTCTCTACCAATTCATTTTCATATTACGAAGGTGTGACGAAGCGAAATGATAGCTGTAAAAATATTTCTCCTGGTGTCTTTAATTCATATTTCACATCAATTGAACAATGGTCTTGGTCTAACACCACAAATGGGTACGAGATGACAGTAGTTTATATCTGAGTATAGAGAATTTTTTTATGTGATAAGGCTGGAATAGTTGGAATCATTTTGGATGTAATATTAATGAAAAATTGATTCAACAAACAGCCGATTTGATGGTATCGACAGGTCTTGCTGCTGCTGGTTATCAATACGGTTGGTTGTGTGAATATGACTTCGAGATCATTTTTGCCTTGTTTAGTAAATATGGATGACTGTTGGCAAGTAAGTCGAGATGCCAATGGTACGATTGAAGCCGATCCGAAAGCGTTTCCGAGTGGCATCCCAGCTCTCGTTGATTATGTGCATTCGCGTAAACTAAAATTTGGACTCTATTCAGGTATGATGATTATAGTCCCAACTTGAGTTGATGTAATTTGTTAAGATGCTGGATTTAAAACGTGTGATGNAAACTGCAAGAAGACAACATGCACTCACCATAAAATTAGATGGCACGTGGGAATGACATGCAGCGAATATGATCAAAAACTAGAATCCGATCGCGAGAATCGACAAAATAAGAAATACTTAAATGATCATACGAAGAAATGTCCTAAATGCAAAGTGTCTATCGAAAAAAACGGAGGATGCAACCATATGACATGTCGCAATTGCAAACATGAATTCTGCTGGTCATGCCTGACCGATTACAAATCCGCGGGCCAACATCAAAATTGCTGATTTACGCTCTGACAAATACTTTGCCTTGTTTTCTTTTTCTAAACTTCACGACAAATATTGTGTGAACCGAGAAAATATATTCATATTTCATTTTTATATCTTTCACTGCTTTCCTTATTAGCCGAATAAAACAAGAATTTTTTCTTTGAAAGAAACTCAAGATTTTATTGAATATGTATTCACAACAGTTACAGTGTAATTGACGAGTCAAAGCGTTGATCTTCTATGAAATGTATGCATTAGTTCTCATTCTGTAGAAGAATACTAACAGAGCCAGAACCATAATTAGCGATAATAACATCAGGGTGACAATCATTATCTATATAGGCAACTGCTACTGAACGTGGATCGTCGCCAACCGGATAAGTAGTTTGATTGAAAGCTGTGCCATTGTTTCTATTCAGAAGAATACTAACGTTGCCTGCTCCTGAATTCGCGACAATAATATCAAGTCTGTTATCATTATTCATATCAAATACTACTACTGAGTACGGGCCGGTGCCAACCGAGTAAGCGATTTGACTCATAAATGAACCATCACCCTTGTTCAAAAGAACGCTTACAGTATTTGAAATATAGTTCGCGGCAACAATATCAGGTCGATTATCATTGTCCACATCGCCAACAGCAACGGAATATGGAAAACCACCGACTGAATAAGAATTATGAGCCCCAAACGTACCATTACCGTTGTTGAACAAAATTCCGATATTGCCTGATCCTGAATTTGCTACAATAACATCCGATTTATTATCATTATTCATATCAAATATCGCGACTGAGTACGGATTATAGCCAACCTGATAGATAGTATGATTTGAAAATGTTCCATTGCCAATGTTAATTAACACACTGATGCTATTTCCGTAATAGTTTGCGGTGACAATATCAGGCTTCTTGTCACCGTTCACATCAGCCACTGAAAGTGCACGTGGACTGCGACCAACTGAGTACAGAACAGGACCTTGAAACGTACCATTCCCACTATTAAACACAATATTCACTTTGTCTATGACTTGGTTTGTGACAATAATATCTGGTCTGTTATCACTATCTACGTCAAATACTGCAAGGGCCACTGAGTTATTGGCAACTGAACTAACAGTCTGATTAAAGAAAGTACCATCACCTCGGTTAACAAGGATACCAACTTTGTTAGGGTCATAGACGGCAATAATATCAGATTTATTGTCACCAGTCACATCTGTACCAGCGACAGCATATAAAGTATCACTGACTTTATAGGTTACTTGATTACGAAAAGTGCTGTAAACTAGACGAAATAAAAAGAGCATTTTTAGTTTATATCAGTTGACGTGTAAACTACAGCTACGAACGAAGTTCAATATTTTCACAATTCAAGTTTGCTACTCAACAACAAGAAATCGTTTCGGTTACAATTTCCAATGAAATGAAGCCCCAATGAAAACGCGTGTCGTAAGCGTGGAATGCAATGAAGTTAATGTTTATCTCTAAGAAACATATCTATACTTTCGACTGTCAGCTTGAATGCAATCTAAATCCTTTTCTCTGTATAAGAAATATGTGATGAAGAAAAAAAAACGTAATATCACGAACCAAAACCTGCTGTTGTTGTAGTATTTGTTGACGATGATGCCGACGACGGACTTGTTGTCGTTACTATTAAATAGAACAAAAGGATACAATTCAGCTTAGTGTAGAACAATTATTGTTCGCCCATGATATCGTTCTTTTTATGCCTGATACTTCTCTCTAAGCCAAGTTTTAAGACAATATAATGTGTTTTCGTTTTTTTTGTTCAACTTACGATTGATTCGAATAGAAATTGCTGATTGATTAAGAAATGCAAATATTGAATTCACATCGAATTGAAGCGTAATCCAAGTCACACTGGATTCAAATAATTGACACGTTCGGTTTCTCGAAAAGTAATTCAAAGCAAATTTGGATCCATTGGAATGTATCATTCGACACATGCATTCATCCTGAGTGATGTTGAAAACTAGTATACTCATATCAGCAATTTGTGAACAATTATCGATTCTACCGATGCTAATCGAGTTAGCAACAGAAAACAGTGACAGCAAAATAATCTTCCAGGACATATCTAATTCCTCTAGGCAAATTCTTCAAATGTTTTGTTGAAAGTTTTTATTATTATTATTGTCATGTGATATAAATCACATTGTGCTCTTGAAAGAATAATTAGAAATTTCACTTCAGTTTTTGTGTGCAGAAAGGAGAAAATAGAACTAATTACATCTCTCATACACACTGCCTAGATAATTTGAAGAATGTATATATATTCTTCTCTTTGTACTTATAATTTCACAACCTGATAACAACGAAAAACACCACTATTCGATTTTCTCTTAGTCAGCATACATGACGTAGCGTAGAATCTTTCTGTTATCCTTGGGCATCTACGATGAGAACAGGCACCATACACTTTATCATACAAAGCAAACACTAAACGAAATCGAAATGGTGACATATGCGATTTTTCTCTCATCAAATAAAAGAACGGTGTTCGTATTTTCTCTGCCAATTCATTTTCAAATTGCGAAGGTGTAACAAAGCGAAATGATAGTTGTAAAAATATTTCTCCTGCTTTCTTTAATTCATATTTCACATCAATTGAACAATGGTCTCGGTCTAACACCACAAATGGGTACGAGATGACAGTAGTTTATATTTGAGTATACAGCATTTTTTATATGACAAGGCTGGAATAGTTGGAATCATTTTGGATGCAATATCAATGAAAAATTGATTCAACAAACAGCCGATTTGATGGTATCGACAGGTCTTGCTGCCGCTGGTTATCAATACGGTTAGTTGTGTGAATATGACTTTGAGGTCATGTTTGCCTTGTTTAGTAAATATGGATGACTGTTGGCAAGTAAGTCGAGATGCCAATGGTACGATTGAAGCCGATCCGAAAGCGTTTCCGAGTGGCATCCCAGCTCTCGTTGATTATGTGCATTCGCGTAAACTAAAATTTGGACTCTATTCAGGTATGATGATTATAGTCCCAACTTGAGTTGATGTAATTTGTTAAGATGCTGGATTTAAAACGTGTGATGGTCGACCTGCATCATTACATTATGAGACGAAGGACGCGAATACATACGCATCATGGAAAGTAGATTATTTGAAATATGATAATTGTTATGATGATGGAACTGCCCCCGAAGTACGATATCCGATTATGAGAGACGCGTTGAATACTACTGGTAGACCTATTTTCTACTCGATGTGTGGTATGTTCACATAAAGACTTCTTAATTTAATTTACTTGCTATACGATGTTTAGAATGGGGAGTGGATCAACCTGCTCTTTGGGCACCAGAGGTCGGAAACAGTTGGAGAACTACAGATGATATTCAAGATAATTGGAAATCAATGCTCAATAATATCGATATCGTAGGAAGATGTGTGGTTTTGGTAAAACTATTTCTATATGCACATTTGTTGATATTTAGAATAACGAATATGCCGATAAAGCTGGACCGGGCGGTTGGAATGATCCTGACAGTGAGTGAAAATATGCTGATATATTTTCGCTGGTCTAAGTCGTGTTCTGTCTATGTAGTGTTGGAGGTCGGTAATGGTGGTATGACCGATGCGGAATATGTCACACATTTCTCTTTGTGGGCTATTAGCAAAGCACCACTGATTATTGGATGTGATATAAGTAAAATGAGTGCAGCTACTTTAGCAACTCTCACGCATCCTGGCGTCATCGCTATCAACCAGGATCCATTAGGTGCTCAAGGCAAGAAAGTAGCGTTTTCTTGGTCAAAGGCGTCTAATTCATCGACTGGCATTGGTCTCACTAATTGTTCAACGTCTTCGTTAAATGCGCAGCCGAAGCGTGTTACATGGGTGTATAATTCTACAGATGGTTCAATTCGATCGAACTCTGGTGAAAAATGTTTGTCCATTGAAAATTGTGATACTTCTGATGGGGCAAACATCGTCGCAATTGATTGTCAAATTAACGATCCACAAGCAAAATGTCAAGGAAAAAATCAACAATGGACCGTTAATACAGTCGATCAGACAATCATTTCTCAGATGAATAACAAATGGTAAATTTGTCCTCATAAATCATATGTAAAAATAAGCATCGATTTGTTTAGTTTACAAACGTTTCGCGCAGCAGGACCAGCCGTCGATGTCTCAACATGTAATAAAGGCAATGGCCAAAAGTGGACATGGCATTCAGTAGATAACACTATTGAGAATGATTTGAATCACGGATGTTTAACACAAGTACCAGAATTAGAAGTATGGGCAGGTGATCTTGACGATGGCTCCGTGGCCGTACTTTTGTTTAATCGAGGAAATAGCGTCAGCGAACCAATTACTGTTCAATGGAGTGACATTGGGTTTCCTGTTCGTGATTCAGCTCTCGTTCGAGATGTTTGGGCACAAAAGAATCTCGGACCTTATCGTTATAACTATACATCTTCGAATATCGACCCTCATTCTGTAATGATGTTGAAAATTACGCTTTATGCTGAGAGTGAAGATAACTCTTATGCAGATTACTATTAGATTCATATAATGTTTGAAATGATCATATACAAATAAAATACTTCATCAACAAAAGTTGCTCTTATAATTGATACTCACTACACGACGCTCCCTTTCTCAGTTGTACAAAGATCATGCTAAGCATTTGTCGTATCTCTAACATATATTTCGTCATATTATGCTCTTTTCTGCGTTTCATTTACCTGTTCATGTCATTTATTATTTTTCTTGTGCGTTTTTTCAGAACAAACTTAGAATAAACTTTTCTATTCACAGCTGAGCAGTAATGCGTGATATTCATGTAATCACACATATTGGTGCGTTCTTTTTTGCCATTACCTTATTACTTTCCAATGAAAGAGGAAGGCATCTATCTGTAGCTCAACAATATTCATATTGTTCGCCTTTCTTTTATAATGAAGACGGTTATTCTTTTGTGTTGTCTTCTAACTACGGCTAGTTATCAAGGTGACTACTTTACTCTGAGTGGTCAAGGTAATCGATTTCAACCAGATGATAATGCTCAACTCTTGTCGACTATCTCAAATGTCGACGTTACTGCATCATGCG